AACATACTAGAAGTGATGTCAGTGTTCAGATATAAAACCCAATTTTAACTTGGTTGATTCATTCAAAATTTATCAACCTTCCGAAGATTTAGTATTTTCACTAATGTTTCGAATACTTATAATTTTTTAAGATAGATGTGATGTCAGACGTTATTTACATTAAGAAAGGAATTTTTACAAATCTTTCGATTATTTACTGTTTTGATTAAAGTTTCGACTATTTATTATTTTTCACTTACGAATTATTAATTTTTTCTAATGTTTCGAATATTGATCGTTTTTGAAGATAGTGTGTGATCAATCGATTATTTACTGTTTTGATTAAAGTTTCGACTATTTATTATTTTTCACTTATGAATTATTAATTTTCTCAAATGTTTCGAATATTGACCGTTTTTGAAGATTGTGTGTGATCAATGTTCAGATTTAAAAAAATTACTTTTGATAATTCACTTAAATTAAGAAAATAAAGAAATATAAAATATATAATATAAAAAAAGAAATATATATATATATATATTTGCTACATTATTCCAATTTTCTGTAAATTATATCACCACGAATTCCTCACAATAAAAGAAATTGAAATGAATTTGAAAATTCTGAAGGACATTCATACTTAAATCATGTAAATTCAGTAATTTTTATACCTCGCTTTGTTGTCGTCTTATGTGTCTCTCCACGACCAGTTGTTAACAAGTTGCAAATTTTTTCTCCTCTTGTAGGCACCTACTTAGCAATGTAGAGCAAATTTGGAAAAACCTTTTTTATATATGCATATACGTGATATGAAAGTTCACCTTGAAAGTTAAAATTATCTCCATATCCTTAAAGGAACTCCGAGTCGCTGAAATTTTGATAAAGATCTTTGGATACATGAATTTTTTATGCAATAAACGTTGCGAAAATTGCCGTGCGAAAAGTATAATTCGCTGTAAATACCAACCCATGCATATTCCATCTAAAACTAACGGATTTGAAATGGAACAGCATGCGAAGTGATTTACATTCCTTTACATCGACTAATTGTCAATCGAAAATTGACATAAACATTTTTAACAACTAACGACCGCACATTAAGAAATCAGGCAGGACCGCATTACAAATTTTTGTTGTAGCAACAGAAGCTTCTTTTTTTCATCGTGATTATAATCAAGCGGTAGTAGAATTAGAGTAATACATTTTAGCAGAATTAATGTTTGTTTGTAAAATGTTAAAAAATAGAATTAAGTCACATTTTAATGTGTTTCAATCAAATTATTAAAGGATACGGGATTAAACAGTTGTATTGAATAAGTTGCTTTAGTTAATTTAAAGAAGTCATTATGGTCGTATTAAAAAAATTGTCGTGGCTCCAAATAAAATAGTCAACCCGTAGACTATTTCTAACAGTAATTCATACCTTCGGTTTGTTCTTAAAAACTCTTTATATTGCTTATTTAAATAAAATATATTAAAAATTTACCATTTTCGCTAAAGTTTTGAAATTTAGATTTTCATTAATATTTCGAAATATGTGCAAATTTCAGTAATCTTTCGAATATTCATTTGTTGTCATGAGATTAAAAAAATTAAAAGATACAATAAAACTGTTTTTTTTTTTTCAGGAAAAGAGTAGTGGTGATAAAAAAAATTGAGATGACTAATGGTAGCGTGGTCTTAAAAAAAGATTCAACCTATAGATTATTTTGAATTCATACATTCTGTTTATCCTCAAAAAGTCATATTGGAATGAAATATTATCCGTTTCCCTTTTCACTAAGTTTTCGAGTATATTAACTAATATTTCGAAAGTTTACAGTTTTCATAAAACTATCAAATATTTACGATTTTTTACTAACATTTCGAATATTTTCTTATAAAGTCACAAGATTAAAAAGTTGGAATATAAAACGAAAAAGCTGTTTTTTTTTAAGAAGAGCCATTAAAGGTGGAAGGAAACAATTCTAAAGGATTAAAGAGATCGTGATTCCAAAAACAAAATGCGGATTATTTCCTACGAAAACGTATACATTTCGTCCACCCTCAAGAAACTATTTAATGTACTGTATCGAATTCTCGAACTTTCGAATAGTACTTAAGATTTTCACTAATCTTTCGAAAATTTATATTTTCTAAACTTACGAACTTAGGTTCGTGCGACCTTTTTTCTTAGATTTAATCAAAGTCATTTGTTGAATTTCTCTAGAATTGTGTGTGGAATATTACACAACCTATAAAAGCAATCGACAACGAATAATTGAAAAGCTGCTTTTCCAAAAGCAATCTGGAGAAATGCTCTTTCAGGGAAATTCAGAGACAAATTATATAAATTCCTGAATACCTGAAAGAAGCATTTTAAGATGGAATCTTCTAAATGTGATGTCTAAATGCCTTTACAAGCTTAAGGGTAAACATTTATTTTTATGTATTAATAGCAACTGCATTTTCTCGTTGAATTCTCAAGGGAAGAAGCTCCCTCAGGAAACATTCCCATTCATTTCGACGTTCTTTAAGTCTCGGTAAAGTTTATTTAAAAGTATCTAAACACCAAAGCTGTTTGTGCAGTTCACGTAGACCATCAATTACCTCAATTAATCGTGAATCATAAAAACCCAGGCAATGAAATAAACATTATACGATGACATAACAGCGAAGCGCTAATTGGAGTCAGAATTCCCTGCGAATCGCACGGTGCTCCATCGCGAATCCCAGATTATGGCATTTATTAAAATAAAACCGCCATCATCTCAGACGAATTCATTTGCGTAAAAAGCGTACAGCACGCTGACGTAATGCACTTTTACTCGTAAAATTTCCTAGTGGCGGAGCGAGAGAGGACATATTCTAAAGCGTCGCGCTGAAAAGGATACAGCTTAGACCGTGCCTTGACAATGCAGGCTTTGCGGACATGGAATCTGTTCAAAATCAAGGTAAATGAGAGGGAGCGCGGGCAGGCTAATCAAAAAAAGATGGACGCTTTTTAGTTTTAGTTCGGGATTTAGTTTTGTGATTGTCTCGTGCGTTATCACATACGAATGCGATTGGGTCCCACATGCATTCCACCTCAGCCTCAGTGTAGTGTAGTGAACCATCCGGCCGACTCAGCGGAACGAAAGAGATGGGTATAGTGCTCAATATTAGTGCGGTTATTCTCAAAATATTCATTTTTAATTTCGTTGCGTCTTTTTGTAAATGAGACTGACGTTTTTCTTTAAGTAAGTTTACCAGTAGAAGTTACCATCAGCCATAAGTAAAACGAAGGAACATTTTAAATTATCGCACCCTACAATTTTACGAGGGACACTCTAAATTCTATTGTAACTTTCGAAAGTGACAGAGAATTAATGGTTTTGAAACATATGGGACGATGCAAATCTTTTAATTGCTTCCATTTTGATATTCAGTTAAAAATTCAGGTATGTCTTTTGCTATTAAATCTTGTTCCATTTGATTGCGAGCAACTGTTTCTCAAATGCAGTGGAACTGAACCACAGTTTTTGGTCCATGTTTGATTTACATCTTACAATTTTGTTGAAAATATGATCATACAATTGAAATCTGATAAGTTTTCAAATTGTCTTGATACTACCAAACTGTCATTAATTTAACAAAATTTCTCATTCAAGGGACAGAAAAAATAATTGAGTGTTAAGTTGTTGACCCTGAATCATTCCTGTCGTTCTATTGAGACAACTAGGAAACCGTTTGATTGATTTCATTCACAGTTTTGGTGAGCATCGATACTGATACATGAAAGGAATACAATATTTCTTCTGAAACTTCTGAAGAATATCCTGGTTAAACTGTCGATAGGAGTTAGTTTTGTTTATAATTCAACTATGTACTTAGTCTTGGTTTCTGATGAGCTACAAGGTCTTTGACACATTCCCTAGTTTGCACTGATATATTAACGATGTGACGTTAATGAAAATATAATATTTCAGTGTCCTATTTTGATAGGTATCCATTTTGGTATCAAATTTCAATGACTTCATAACCATCCTCGTATTTTCATAATCGCCAAATCCAGTAAGGTTCTAATTTTAAGGCCTAATAGAAATAAAGTACAAATATTTTTGCGTTCTATGTATAGAACACACGCGTATATATATTTAAAGTAAAATAAATATTCGCATTTCTCACATATGGCTACCACGTCATATGCCTTCTATACAGTCTGGTGAGCAGTATTACACACTAGATATTACACAGTTACTCGTAATGTTTCTGAATTTTACGGAATAATTATGTCCTGACGTGGGTAAATATATATCGTTGAAAAAAAAATGTTTCATACCACAGTTTGATGAATTAAAAGTATGGGTTTTTCAGATGTAATATCAACAAAAGGCAAACCGCTCCTAACAATGTTTTTCGTTATGGTAATTGAAGTCACTGTACTTTACTTAGCGAGATTTGTCTCATATTTCAAGGAAACTTACAAAATTATTCGTGCAAATATATTTCTTTATTTAGAATATCGTTTTAGTTCTATAAAATAATAGTGGAGACTTTTCTTTAACTTTTTTATTATTTTCATAATAATTTTCTTGTTCTTGTTTATTACGATTACATTTAATTATTTGATTTTTTATTGCTGTTAATAAAGTATAACATAGAAACGGCAAAGGTTAGAGAAGAGAGAATTACAGATAATATGACACTATACTTGACGATAATGAACTTATGTTTTTAAGAAATATTTAAAACTTCTCTAGATTATTAAGAACAAGTTATTTACTTATATGTTTGTGTTATTTTTATCTTATTAAATTTTCCTTTGTAAAAATTTATAGAATTGCTCTCTCCTTGAGGTCAAAGATCTTTTGGCCAGAGTTTGTAACCTCAGTATGTAGAGTAAATAAATATAAACAACACAACTTGTCAATGAATTAAATAGAAACTACTCGGTTAATTACGTAACATTATTTTAATTTCAATTGGGAAAATAACTGTAATTTTCTCTTCGTATCAATGAATTTTTCTAAATAATAACTAACTAGCTTCTTTCTTTTCAGATGCCCCAAACTGTACCATCCGCAGGGTTTACCCCCCCATGTGACTACAGCAACTTCGCCGACAATTTCGATTTGTCGCTCTTACCAGGAGGTGATCAGCCAGTATCGCCTTCCACCCTCTTCTACACACAATCACCCCCACCCCCAAACCCAGACAAAAACGTCCACCCCAAAATATACGCCACGTTCTACCCCAATACCCCACAACAGAAACCTCCAACAGAAAATAATATAGACCTGGGGCCTGACTTCCAAACGTTACTAGTACCTGACGAGAAGAAGAATCATAACTACCCCAGGTCTCCAGTTTCAAATATCTACTTGGAAGTTCCGAGCCCTAAGAATTACCCAAATTCTCCCGTGGGAGCCTTGTCGCCTTACTCGCCACAAAGCCAAGGATTGTTGTCGCCCAACGACCACTTCACCAACTACAGACAATCTGGGGAAGGCAATTTCTACCCCAGCTCCCCAGAGCAGTCCCTGTACACAGCTTCCCCAAGTTCCGTATACTCCAGGTCACCTTGCAGCGAAGACTACGTCCAGAACCAGTACATAAAGACGGAAACGTACTCCAACTCTACGTCACCGCTTCCCAATTTCGCGCCGTTCAAGATAAAGGAAGAGAGCTTCTCTACGTCATACGCGTCAGCGTCTCCGGATCATCTGAGCTTGACACGAGACGGTGCGGATGTCTTGGATCTGTTAGACACCACTGTGTTAGAAAAACAAATAAAGCAGGAGAGTACTGTCGACTTCGGTAACATATTGCAAGGATTCCAGGATACAGACACGCTGAGGCAGCTGTTGGAAGAGGACCTGAAAAAACCAGAGCCCGAGAAGCCCAAGGATCACCAACTCCTGAGGGAGGTGTTGAGGGATACCAGCTTCCAAAAGAAGTACAACATAAGACCTATTGACTTCGGATTTCTTGGTGGTGAGATTAAGATGGAGGAGCCCGAAGGTGAACCGAGTGACTTGAGTGAGCAGATCGCGAGGGAAAACATCGAGCCTGTTCTGAATTTAGCCATCGAGCAGATGAGGAAAGATGTTGACAACACCTGTGCCACTCTGGGGATCTCCAGAGGTAAGCCTGATATAATTTTATTTTTGAGAAAGACAACACTTGCTACCATCTGTGAAAACAACATATATTTAAAATTGGGAAATTACTGTTTATTATAGGGGCGATATTTATTGTTTTTAACATTTGTAATTGTGATGCTTTTGAAGTCCATCAGTAAATATTTTTAAAGGTGCATCTAAATTTTTGTGCTATAAGATTTTATGTTTTGGAAGAAATTGTGTTTTCTAAACTGTTTTTTATTACAAAAATTTCTGAACTTGTAAACTTGCAATCAATACTATTATTTTTCTAAATGGAATGACTGCAATGCTCTTTTCTGTTAACTTATTTTTAGTTAAATCCCAAATAATTACGTTAAAGAAACGTTGACATCTTTCCAGATGTCATCTAAATATGGTATCTTTTATGCGACATTGCTTTTTTTAAGAAATTAAAGTCATTAAATAAAACATTCGCAGTGTGAAATCCCAAATTCGATTAGATATTGTATATGTTAGAAAGAATGTTTTACTAAAGATATTTTTAACTCGTCTAATAAATTCAAAAGCTATTTTCGGTTCCCTAATAGACGAATAAAGATTTTATGTTGGTTATGTTAATTTTATTAGGGTATGGCGAAGAAAAAATTTGTGGCGTATTTTCTGCTTATTTGAAGGCTTTACGTTGCTATTAATAGTATCAGCATTGAGAATTATTCTAGGAATGTGAAATATTTTGCTGCTACAACTATTAAAATGAGACCTGTCGAGGTATGTCTGGTGTAAAATGTGGACAATTCAAATGGTAAAAATGTGTTAAAAAAAATTAAAAGTGCATTAACAATTAACTAATACAAAAATAACCAAAAAGTAGCAAATAAAACAAAATGAAAAAAAATATTAATTTAAGCAGCAGGGATCTAGAGATGAAGAGAATAATAGATATAATAATACTAAATATTGCGGGTATAATTCAATGCTGCACGGAGCTGTAGCCCGCAGAGTAGTTGATATCAAATTTATTCATCTTGAAGTAAAATAATTTTGTCGTAAAAATTATATATGTACTATTTTAAAACACAACTAAGCGAGATGAAGAGGAAGATCTTTTGTTTATTTTGTTATAATTACAAGAACTATAAATAGATTCACCATAAAATCAGAAGGTAATCTATTAAACTTTAGATTATTGCGAAGTGAAGGTTCTAGCGCAAAACAGACATTTGAAGGCTTAATTTGCATTGGATAACAAGCCAATTTATTATACATTTTGTTAATGTTTCGAATTAGAATCATTATGTATAGTGAAATTTTATAAATATTGCGTTTTGTACAGATAAATAACAAAAATATTGATATTTAACTGACAAAAAAGATGCAATTTTATCATTTAAGGAAACCACTGTCCATGTACGAAATGTAAGTTGCCGCTTGTCTTTACTTTGCCTGAAAGAGGTGACGACATAACAAGAGACAGCGAACCTGATTTGTTTAAACTGTCAAAAGTATTTGGAATGTAAGATCCGCTTTGCGGCTTAATATAATAAGGCACATGTCCGATAACGAGCGCTGCATTGCAAAATTTACGTCACACTTGTCAAATTCGTTAATTAATATTCAATTTTTTTAAGAACCAATAGTCCTCCGTTTTAAAATACCGGAGCAACCAAACATGTGGACAACCAGTAGCAGAAAAACTTGCACTGTTATGTAACCGCAACAAAACAAGACATCAACTATCTGCACCAAAACATCCTTTGTTCAAGGAGTTGAGTTGATTTAAATAAAAAAATCCGGCGACCACCGCCCATTCATTATACTCGTTATAATTGATGTGCTCTCGAAGTCTTATTCAGAGCGTGAGGAAAATGGCATACCAGTTCAGGATTACCGTCCTTGGAACACCACACCTTAGACTTGCCATTCTACTTCAGCTTTATGTGTATTGTTTTCGATACTTCTGGGTCTTTAATGTAATTATAGCGGCCAAATATAGGAAGAATCCGTAGTGGGCTACTGGGACAGATAACGTTTTTTGGTTCTCTATAGTATCCATCACAGATCACTTAAGACGAGTTTTTATAATTGCAGTATGATTATTATATTCCTTTCTGCAAGGAGAACAAAAACTGATTCAATCTGTGCCTTTGGTAATGTGTTCCACTTTTGGTCGAATGCATCTTCAACGGTGTCTTCAAAATCTATACAGTACTAAGTAACTATTTAGACTTACATTTTATAAATACAAAATACTGTTTAACAATCGTTTTTGCAATGTCCTGAGTTATATGGAAAATCACTTATAAAGGTGAAGAAAGATTTTCATAAGACATCTCTATTTATATGGTTTTTGAACAGATAAGAAGCTCAATTTTATTGGAAGAAGAGAAAATTTTATGAAATATATAGACAATTTGAGAGAAATTAAAAAACAATGAATAATAAATAGATGAATAAAAATGAAGTTGTTGTAGATTACATTATTTAGTTGCACAAGCATTAATGAAGAAAAAAACCGTTTCTTTGGGTCTTTAAAGTGACTTCTTTCTAAAGTTCTCTTTAGTGAAAGTTTGATAGTGGTGGTGTCATCAAAAACTGCAGTAACAAGTAACTTCATTTACGCAGACTTTTATAACTATCAAAAATTGCTTAAACACAATAAACTTTGTTTTGTTCACTTGTCATTTTGGGATATAAGATAACATCTAGAACTGAATAATAGTTTACGTTACCACAATAATATATCTCTGTAAATTTGGATATTGAAGAGGGAAAGAGCAGGTTTTCTTGGAGAGAAGAAGTCGCGAGAATGAAGAGTAATAGAAAAGTATAGAGAAATTTAATATCCCGAAGAAAATATGTTGTTGCAGACTATCTTTTTCTGCGGTATTTCTTCTTTTCCAAGACTTATTTTCTTCCTCAATTTTAACAAGACAACTACAGCTACAGTTGTCTTTCACTGTTCTTCAAAGTTTTTCGGTTCTTCATTTAGCTTCGTTTTTCTTCGAGTTACGGCGTTCGCGGTACTCACCAGTTGATCCAGCGCAGTGCAACACCCTGTATCTCTTTCCTCGCTGGCCCTGAAAGTGTATGATTTAGTGTGGGTGAATGGAAATCGTTTGATTTAGACACAGCTCCAGTCTGAAGCGAAGGTCGTTTCTTGTTTCCGAGGAGTGGAACGCAACTGCGTACTTTTGCTATTTTTAGAGTACTATATTGATAAAACGTACAGATAAACCAGTAATTCATTTATAATAAGATAAATGTCAGCTTGGCTTGCTGCGATGGGATTGCGTTCAATGTCTTTCCCTGTATATTATTGTTTAATAGCATTTGTTTGGACTTTCACTTGTTTATATAAAATTTATTCATTTGTTATATTTAGTTGCCTTGGAAACACTCATGGATTTGATTGATTCTCTTGTTTAATGTGTATTTGTGTATATTGGGATAAATTCGAATATCATTATAGAAGCAAAGTTTTTAAAAATTCATCAAGGTTTCGAATTAAACGAAGACTTATATTGGGTTTATTAAAATTAAATAAAATTATTCATTCATTTATTTGAAATTTTCCACGATTGACTTCAACTAGACTTTTCGTTTTTGCAGATCCATCTCAGTGGGACGCGGCCAGCGTCTTGTCCTGGATCAGATGGACATCCAGACAGTTTGGCCTCCCAGAACCAGTTGCGGAACAGTGGGATATGCCCGGATCAAGTCTAGTCACTCTCTCAGAAGAAGACTTCACCAGAAGGGCTCCTCAGGTGAGTTGAGTAGAGTACTTCTATGAAAAGTGACTCAAAATAAAAAATCTTGGTGATTCAAGCAGCGATTTTTTTCAAGGTTTATTGGAGAGTTAACTGTGAATATAATTTAGGATTTAACATTTATTTTATTTGGTTCTAAGTTATAGCCTTGACATTTTTTAAACAATGCAAACGAATTTATATTGATGAGATGCTATTAAAGAAATCGGCAAAAAATCGAGAGTTGAGCTGTTCCTTCTTTGTTTTAGCAACATTCAATACATCCTATTTAGAAATAAATAGTGACGAATCGACAATATAGTTTTGTGGAACATACTTATGAAACAACAAATTTTACTTTCCTTATTTCCTTTGTGTTCCGTTATCAAGTTATTTGATTTAACACTGCTTTATTTTATTAATCTTTGTTTTTCTTGGCGGATTTACTTCAATGATTTGTTAAAGTAATCAAATGGTTTCAGTTTCAGTACATACAAAAATACGATTGTTAGAAACCATGAATTTCATGCCCTAAAATGTAAATATTTACGACAACCAGTGAACACCTAATATAAAATTATAAATAAAAAAATCTGATGCTGCATCAAGGTTCAGAAATAACAGCGTGAACTCATCAAAACAACAATAAATTTTGACACTCTTCAAGAAACATTATAAACGTCTAACTAATTTTGCTACTTCTGTTCGTAATTAACAGTGATTGATCGATGATTTGCTATTCCGTTGGTTTTTTTTAATAATTTCTATAATTAGTAGTAAAAGTATAAAGAATTTGTTATTTAAACCGTATAAGATAATTAATTAAAATTTATCGGAGACGTAAATTAAGGAAAATATGATGAATCTCTTTAAGCACCGATGTTTTAAAAAATTTAAAAAAAAACATGAATTTGTGTTTTCTTATTTTAGAAATAGTATTCTAATGAGCAATTAATTTTTTAACGCTGAAGATATATGCTAATTGGTTTCCTTCTAATTTTGCCCTATCCTATTTCTAGTTGACCAATGTTGAGCTTTCAAAACATCAGTAAAAACTTGTCTTTTACGCTTACCCAATATAGAAATCAACAACACATGCTGCGGGGCATTTTGCTAGTCAAAGTAACACTTCCAACTCTTTGCTGGCCAAGTGTGGTGCAGTTGTCAATCTTAATGAGGAGATTACAGTTATGTTCACCTTGCCTAGACTTCGCATGACCCGATTTTTACATTCCTTTTAGCGAATTGGTTAGTTGGAGTGCTGGAAAATAAAAATATTGTCCTATACGCTAATATTTACAGACGTGACGAGAGTAGTGTTATTGATATAGTTGATTAGTGCGACACGAAATTAATTGGTTTCGTCAGAAGATATGATAATTTTGCTTAAAAGTAACTTTCACTCGTGCTGAAACCAAACAGACTTGACTTTCTTTAGAGGCAAACGAGTATTAAATTGTTTTTGTCTAGATAAATGTACAGGGTGATTTGGTCAGCCAATATACAAAGCACAAAAGTAAAATTATTAGAATTAATATTAAATAAACCCTCGGAATATTTAGAATAACTTTTTAAAATTAAATCAATGACAAAATTCCTATTTTAAACATCTTATATCTAAACGTTAAAGAATTAATATCAGCGTCATTTTTCTCGTTAAACCAGTCAAATCCATGCTTCTCACAGTAAAACTGTCACAAATTTTAACATGGCGTGAATGACGTGGCCCCTACGTTTATTTATCCTTCAATGAAAGCTTCCAAAAACTCAGGAGGAAGTAATAATAGTAATTACAACCTCCCGATGTACAGAAACCGCGAATTTTCTACACCAATGACATCACTGTTCATCATCGACCACATTACTAAATTAAACATTGTAAAATTCTCACGCTGCTGACTATTATTTTCTTTTAACATCATTCTTCTTATATATCTTCCACATACGCGGTTAAGTGAGTCAGAAAGGTCGTAGAGATTATTTTTAACTCTATTATTAATTATGGGCACCTTTTGAAAGACAAATCGCCATTTTAGAAAATTAAATTTTTGTTCTGTCATAAATGTAGTAGATCATGCCTATGGTTTTTATGATTTCGACAGCTTAACGCGCGGTTTGTTTCGTGATTAATTTTTTGGCCGTTTTAATAAAGCGATGAGGTTTCCGATGTCATTGACCGTCCTCAGCACCGCCCTTGCGGTTGTAAGACGTCCGACGAACGCTATTTTCTACAACAAACACGAAGAGAAAGTCCAAACTCGACCTACTTGATCGTAAAAATTGCGAGAATGTATTTTTATAACTTCCTTCGCGTCGGTATTGAAAAATAAGTTTGAAATAGTTTAATATTCTAAAGATGCGTCGTAGTTTGGGTAGGCAGATCACACGCAAAATGTGCTGGTTTGCTTGTTCAAAATGCCTAACACTTTGTTGTTTAAAATCGGATCTACAGTTAATATTCTCTTTTTGAAGAGAGAAAGAAGCAGTGACCACATGCCGGTAAACACGAATACAAACTAATTAGATTCTTAAATGAGTTGCTGTCTTATGTTACATCGACAGTGCCATGAAATATGGTTTTATTGTATAAAGTAAAAGGGTTAGTCCAGTTTTAAAGGTCTTTCACACAATTATTCAATGAAATACTACATAACTATCATTTCGATTTGGTTTAAAATCATTTTGATTTTGATATAACATTACATAATTTTTTCTCATTCAAATTAGGGCAAAATAATTGAGTTTTATGATCATCTTCTGATAAAACATTCTGGTGGAAATTGTCTATGCAGATCTACATTTTTGTCAACGAATTCAAAGAAAAATTCTTGACAGATGAAAAATCTCAGACCCAATTCCAATGTCTAGTGATTGACTGATCTTTGAAGAATCATAAGAATCATTTTAGGAAAAAAAATGTATTATTATTTATAAGTTGCTTCAGCATATTGAAGGTCTAATATAAATAATGTACTACCGTGCGCTCCCCCAAAAGCTTTCTTAAAACGTGACAATTCTTCCGGAGCAATATCAAAAATTCACCACCTATCCCTTTCGATGAAACTGTACAAGGCAACGAGAGTCAGAATTCGAATGGTATCCCAGCACTTGACTCACCCTCTGGTGGCATTCTTAAAAGCTTGCATAAATCACTTGCGTATTTCTCAAGAAGTAATTGCAGTTGCGTGATATATAAACTAATGGCTCAACTATTAAACGCAACCTAAATACCAACCTGTTGAACACTCCTTCTTGCCGGAGTGGCAGTTCTATATATTTGATTAAAAATGTTATTTATTGCACCATAATTTACATCTGCAGATAGTGTAAACAATGTTATGGTACGTTACTTCATCTCGAATTCCATTGGTTGAAGTGACAACCAATCGTTTCTCTTTATTTCATATCGTGATCTCTAAATAGATTCAGGATTTTGCTGTTGGTGGTAGTGCCTCTTGAACTATTTTAATTAATTTCTAGTGGCGATAAAATTAACTACCGATAATGGAGGAAAAGAAATAAATTATTATCAGAAGAACTTGTAATACAGCTTTGATGTTAACGTTTTTTCAGTGATCTTAAGAAATCAGTTTAGAGGCGGCACAATATTTCATCTTAATTGGAATTTTTGCTTTAATTACTTGTTTTTGCATTCTGAATCAACTTGAAATATGAACCTCTTTTGGAACTAGAATTTAGCAGTAAATCAGGTTTATGGCTTGATCCGCTGCAAGTCCAGTTGTTGCAGAGATTAATATGTCTTTACAAACTTTAACGCGGTTTCAATACTTACCTTAATCATGACATTAATCCTAAATTTGTGGAACATTCTTCTCAAAGCCCAGATATAAGTCTGTAATAAGATTATCAATGAAAGTGTTCCAATTTCGACTTAAATGTTTTTTTGTTTCAGGGTGGTATGATCCTTTACGCTCAGCTAGAGATATGGAAAGCAGCGTATTCAGAGGAAGATTTGGGTATGCAATGGCTTCCAGAGACTACGTCCAGCAATGCTTCAAGTGGTGATGTTTCCGAAGGTATGTGTATACTTTTACTTTACTAAAATCAATCCAAATCTGGGGGAAAGTTGATAATACTATCTTGAATCAGTATAAGTTAGCGGTAAGGTTATGAGCAATAACCTTTGGTATTCTGTAAGCCTAAAAAAATCTATAACAACTCTTTTTACCTATATACGTCATCCTATCACACCTCTATCTGAGTAACGTGAGAAAATATTAAAATGTTACACAGACAAAGAATAGTGATTCATCATGGAGATTTGCTTCGTCCTACAGTTTTTAACTGATAGTGTGGCGTCGTATGAAACTGACGAAACGAATTATTATTTTATATATCAGAGTTTAGCATGTTGAACACGTGAAACTTTACTAGTGATTCCGAATAAAATAACGATATATATTAAAATTGAAATAAAGAAAATTATTTGCATATAGTCGTCGTCCTTATGTTCAGTGAATATTTTTTTTTAATTTGGGACACCTGTGGGGTTATAAATTCAAATAGATTGGAATATGATGTTAATTATTGAATTCTGAAATATCACCTTTTGGTGTACCTCTAATAATAAAAGTATGAATTGTCGAAAAGCAAGTATTACACTTACAGTAACAACAGAGGATTAAGAGAATGATGATACCGCAATAACAGACGTAGAGGTTGTTAGGAAATTTATGTATTTAGATTTTAGTGTTCTGGAAAGTAATGAAAACTGTTGGCTGTATTTTACGAGAACGTTTGTACAAATGAATAATTCAAATGAATCAGAATTCCAGCAATACTAGTGAAAGAACAATGGAAAACCATTTGTGTGGATCGACATAGACTAATAAATCGTATGGCGCTTCTAATGGCTTACCATTAATATCACGGCTTTAAAAAATTGCTGTTTAAAGTGGATGCTGCCTCGTTGCCGATGATGCGTATAGTATACGATAAAATACAACGTGTACCTCACATTCAATAAATAGTTAGGTAATGACTTTGTTAAAGCTTGAAACAAACGAAAATATTTATTTATTTCCCATCCCAATTATAGGATGGGAAAGTACAAAGTGTATAAATAACGATAAATACTAAACCACATACGAATAAAAAAATCATATACATAATATTCTGTATATACGTGATATGGTAACATAGTTTTCTATACATGAGTCCAAGACATTTAATACAACATATGAACGTGAATTTAATCGTAATTTTACTGTTTCTTACACGTTACAAACACCTAATGAGAAGGCGCTGTTTTACAATGAATGTGATTCTGAGTGAAGGCTAACAACTTTAGCATTTAATAGAATATAAAGTATAAGAGAGTATAAAACTTTTTATATAATATAAAGACTCATAATCGAACAAAAGAACTAGAAACGGTTTGACCTTTACGTAGGATATTGCTGTGTTATTTTCGAATTAGGGATTCCCAAGATTTTGCACATTTTTGGAATTTTTTTACTTGCAGAATCAAACGCTTGATTGACTAAAAACAGACCCTATTATATTTTACGTCGACGGTCCAGTTCTGCGAGCAGGTTTTCTGCTTACATAACTACGAAGCTTCCTTTTACAGGGTGTTATTTTTATCTGTACACAAGATTCTAAAGAAAGAGTAAATAACTCAAATGGGACCCCGTGGTATACCGTAATTTTGATATAATTTGAAGCAGAATTATTTACTTTGACACATCTTCCAGTTCAGCAAAATAGGATAATAAATTTTATCAAAATCAGTTTCCACTGCATCTACTTCAAATGTTTCATTAATACGTTCCTATATGCACGAGATTAGCCTTGAAAAAAATCATGCAATTCTTTTATTGGGGCATTTTTCAAGTTAAAAAGTAGTTCATCAATTTATAATTGCTTCCGACAACTTTCTTGACATCGACAGCAAAAAAATTGGAAGTTAATTCTTTCTATCACTTTTACTTCCATGGATTGGCGTAATTCTAACTTTTTTCAAATACATTGAAATGCGATTTCAAAAATTATCTTATTAAATATCAAATCTGGTAAGCCATCTGGTCCAGAAACTTTACTAACTCCCAAATTCAAATTGAAGAATGCTGATTATAATCAATTATAAAGACATAAAGGATTCATCAGATATTTTAACGCTAGATGGACACATCGATGATCCATAGACACTACCAAAATCTTTTGAAAACACATTAGAAATGTCTTTGTTGTTACTAAATACGTATTGTATTTTATAGACGTGGATACAGATTTCTTATATTTCTCCTTTTATTTCGTAGACTGGTTTAAAAATTTGGAATCAAAAAAATTCAAAAATATTCTTTCATCTTATTAGACCTAACGCACTGTTTTCTATTCCAGATGAGGAAGAAGAGGCTGCCTCACATTCCGAATCCCCGAAACCCACCACCTCCAGGTCTGGCTCTCACATCCACCTCTGGCAGTTCCTGAAGGAACTCCTCGCGTCTCCCCAAACACACGGTTCGTGTATTCGGTGGTTAGACCGCACCAAGGGCATCTTCAAGATAGAAGATTCCGTCAAGGTAGCCCGGCTCTGGGGCAAGAGAAAAAACAGGCCGGCAATGAACTACGACAAGCTCAGTAGGTCCATACGGCAGTACTACAAGAAGGGCATCATGAAGAAAACAGAACGGTCGCAGAGGTTAGTGTACCAGTTCTGCCACCCGTACAACTTGTAATTATTCTTCTTCTTCCACAAACATGTACATAGCAGTTATTTTGTTTCTATAAAACAGCTTTAGACGTACAAAAGCGATTTTATAGTCACGAGTAACTAAATATCTGGGGGTATAGGTGAGGTGTAGGTTAAAGGAAGTTGCATTTGGTAAAAAATGCAGCAAACGGGTGCAACGCAGGGTATTACTCGTTGCGCTCGTTTCGTTATGCCAGTAAGGCATCCAAATAGGAAGGTAATTTCCAGTAAATTCTATTTTTAAGTAAAACATTTACCGACAAGTAGAAATCTCTTTCTTGGATGTGAACTGAGAGGTGTTCTTTCGGCGGTTGTTTGATGCTCGAGATTTGGTAAAGAATCTTTAGAAGCTCGACTTCTCGTTGAGGAATACTTGATGGTTCGCAATTCCTCGAGGAATTTTTGAAAACTCGGTGATTTCTGGTCCCATATATCTATGATATATTAAGTAAGTAAGTTCTATGAACAAATTTATATGTCTAAGAAGTTTGAGATGTTGAAATATAGGACATTCAAATTGAGGGTGAACACATTTGCAAGGTTCCGATGACGAATATGTACGGAAGGCGGTTGCAAATGTGTTAACACCCCGAATATTTTATAATCGTTTTATTGTTTTAACTATGTAGTTTATCGATACTCATTGTAATTATTTATTTTTAAATTGTAGTGAACCGAGAGCTTTATTATTACCTTTACAAGCATATTATGTATAAACCAATATTTATTTAAGGTTAATATTTATTTGATCCTTTGTAAAATGTATTTATATTTTGTAAAATAAATGTTTTGATTAATAGAAATGCGTTTACTTCTTTAAATCATAGGCACCAATTCACCACAGGCACATTGCCCTTCTTCAAAGAGAAAACAGAATTAAAATAAGAATCTAGAAAAATAACCTCACTTAGACAATACTAATAACTTTTACAATAAAAGACATACGTTTTCGTAATGAACGATGATTACCTAGTAATTTTTCTTTTTACCGTAAAAAGCAAGACAAAGAAACGGATTACCCGCAATTTAAGGCGAATATTTAAACTCTTTTTATGTAGTATGTAACTTAGGAAAAAAACCAAAGGTTCTCAATTACGACTATTAATTTCAAGAGCTGTTTTGTTGCGTCTATGATTTTGACTATTGAAGATGCTTATTATTAATGCATTTAAACTACCAAAAAAAAACTTCTATAAGTGCGTAAAACCCTGTAAACTGTTTTAATAAAAAAATACAGCAAAATGTTGTTTTTCAACTACCTAGTCTAATATTGTATAAGAATAAATTTATATACGTACCATATTCGAGGACAAACTATGAAAACCTATACACCTAACCTAATAGAATTCAGTTATGATTGGAATTTAAAACATTCTTATCCAAACAAATAACATATCCTTCCAAGGATACTACGACTATAAATAAAAATAAAACACAGTTACCGAATGAGTGAACAGATTTGTGAAAATTAATGGGTATAAAAACGTTCGAGTCTTTATTTGCACGAAAAGATATATGAAGAAAACATTGATAACGTAGACAAGACCACACCCTGTACATTTGCATTGACGTCAACTGGTCAAGGACGTATGGACCAGCCTTGCTCTACATTGTTGCCCTCGAGGCTACAAAAATCTTAATTTTTTTAATTCGCAATGTTACAGTGCATAAAATAATTTTTGTAATAAAACTGCTGCTAATACAAATATTGAAAAATAAGTTGATTATTGAGTTATGCAATGTTGTAGCGATGAATTACGGCATTTTGTTGAAGTCTAACAAGTTTATAATTAATTAATTTGTGGTCATTTAGTTTAGAGAAAAAACGTGCAACACGCTTATAATTCTGACATTGAAATCAAAGGTTAACATGGATAAGAGATAACATGTTAACATGAAAGGTATTTTAGAAATAGCAAATATAATCTAAATAACAAGCAAAATAATGGAAATGTGGAGTAGTATTAATATTGTTACTTAGATGTGTGCTAAACAAGTATAGTTTTTTTCAAGCAAAACTAGATTCTTTAATGAAATTGATGGTATTTTGAGACAGAGATGATTTTATGCAGACATACAAGGTGTATTATGTGGTTTATTCAATCAAAATTATAGCTTTTTATTAATAATATACCACTAATAAAAGGGTTTCTGTACAATAAGTTTTGCGATCCCATTTTGTTATATACAGGGTGTTTGGAAAAGTTGGTACAAAATTTAAGGGGGTGAAAGTAGAGCCAAAATTAGTAAAAAAAGTTCCTATAAACATTGGTCCTCCGGAGCACCGTTACCGAGATATCGCCCTCCAAAGGGGTCTTATCATTTGGATACTTTTTAAAATAACTTTCTTTCTGATTAAGATAACGGAATGAAATTTGTACATAATAATCATACCATAAGGGTCTTTAACTGCCATAAGTTTCATCAAAATCGGTTATAAATAAGGATAGTTATGTAACTAATCAACAGAAATTTTTGGAATTTTTTTTATTCTTTTGAATTATCAAGCAAATGATATTATTTTTTAATGAATTGGACTTTTTTGAAGACAAAATGTATCTACTTTTTTTTTCGAATTCTAAGTTTCGAAGTTTAATCAGAAATAATTATTTTTTAAATAATGGATAGCTCAGAACTGTAACTTTTTTTAACATTTTCACGTAGTAGGCATCTTTCATAGTGACAGTTTCATTGTAATGATACTAATGATTGTTTATTTTCTTAATTATTGTGATCTTTGAGCCCAACTTCACATTTCATTGGTTTTTTTTTACGACCATGAACCATCATGCTTTTACTAACCGTGAATATGCCGATACTCTTTTTGAGCCGCCAGACTATTTCCATTACAGAAACCATAAATAAAATACATATAACTTTTCCAAACACCCTGTGTAGGTAACGTAGCCCATTCTAGAAACTCATTTTGAAAAATTATGTATAAAAACAGCCTTACGATTGACAGCCTTACTATTAGAAAAAAATATTTATTAACTATCATCACTAATAACTTCATTATCATATTGAATCAGATATGAACTTTGCTTGTCTCGGATCTGATTACAGACGTCACAAATTCTGAATTCGTGATCGAATTTTGATTACAACAGTTCGGTTTGGCATGTCTTTGAAGGTCACCCAAGAAAAAAAAATACAGGAAAACAACTGAAGCGAGAATACTACTCGTGAAAGCTTGATTGGCAATACGTTGCTAAGTTTGAAAACCGGTACAGCAAGGCCGCCTACATTATAAACTGTATTTTTAGTATTCTCGCTGATGAATTTTGTTGTTACAAGTTTACAGATAGCTATGCAACCATTTATGCACTATTGACATGGTGATATAATAAAATATTGTATATTTTTTACCAACTCTTGTTTTTAGAGGCAATTCAAATAAACTCGATTTTTTTTTCTAAATAATCTTATCAAATGAAGTCAAATGATGTAGTACGACACAAAAATCTAGATATTCAAAACATATTTAGACAAGATTATTAACTTCGGTAACAAAGAACACTGTTTGACTTCATTTGATAGAGTTTTCAGAATATATGTTTTTAATTTTTACAATAATTGGCAAATAGTTACCTTCAAAATAAGGTAAAAATCTTAATTTATTTTAAAAGTATTGACCTAATTCAAACGAAAATTCAAATTCGAAATATTTCCCTAAAATAATATGAAATCAAAAAAAATTGTATTTATTTGAATTAGCCTTTAAATAAAGTAAAAGTAATATCAAATAATACAATTCATAATTTTAAAGAACAGAAAAATTAGGCCTATTTTATATGTGCTTAATGAAGTACCACTTTTTCTCACTTAACACTTATTTTTTAATTAATTCGATTACATATATTAAAACAACATCACCATTGTTAACATTTGCATCTCTATTAATAATAGCTTACCACATCTTCCCTTCAGATATTCATTTTGGAATATTACAATAATAGGAAAATATTTCTTAGTCATTGGTATTTTATTTAATTATTAAAAACAGGAATAAATATGGTGCCCACAATAGCAACAGTCAGAAGACAGTGTCAGTTTATTAAAAAAAGTCAATTTGAAAAACTAAGCTTTCTCCTTATTCACTAAGAATGTTCTGAATTTCCTCCAAACTCTTCCCCTTGGTCTCCACAACACGAAGCTGGGTAAAAATTATGGAACCAACACAGCACACTGCGAATACCCAAAACAATTCTCCTATTCCAAGAGCGTCTATGACTGCTTTGAAATATTTAGTGATGAAAAAAGCCAGCAGCCAATTAACACTAGACACCGTACAAGTAGAAATAGTTTTTACTTTTGTTGGAAAAATCTCCCCTAGCATTATCCAGGGAACAGGTCCAAATCCACTGTTGTAGGAAACGATGAACAAAGTCATCATCAAGATAGGAAGAAAGGACACACTTTGCACGTTGATCTGACGGTCGTTTAGGAAGCTGTATACGCCTAAGGGCACTTCTGACAAAGCCATGCCTACCGCAGAACAAATTAGGATTTTCTTCCTACCATATCTGTCAATTACCAGAGGAGTTACAAGACTGCTGAGGAACTGTACAGCTCCTACTATTATTGAACAAATGTCAGGGTCTAAGGTGGTACCTACTTCCTTGAAGATTGTTTGACTGTAGAACAGGACAGCGTTGATTCCGGAAAATTGTTGGAAAATCAACAAACCAACAGCTATGATGAATGCCTTTGTAGCACCTTTAGATCCGAACATGTCCAGAAAACCACCACGTCCTTCTTCTTCGATTTTTGTTTGTATCTCTACCAATTCTTTCTCTATAGACTCATCTTTCTGTCCTGTTCTAATCCTCTTTAAAGCCATCCTAGCCATTTCATTGTGTTGTTTGTGGAGGTAATAGTGAGGGCATTCCACTCCAAATAGAAAGAAAAGTACCAGGAATATAACAGGAAAAACAGCTAGTACCAAATTGAGGATTATAATGTCAACGTAAGGTCCTAGACAGTAAGGAAACAGGAAGCCCAAGGATACAGCGCAACTCATTGTGGAAAGTAAGGCTCCTCTGTTGGACTTTGGAGTAATCTCCCCTATATATACTGGCACAGTGGCAAAAGTCCCACCAACTGCTAAACCGGCTAAGAACCTAGCCAAATAAAATAAAGTTGTAGTTTTCGCGCAGGCTAGTATCACGTATGAGACTAGAAAAGGTACACCTATGGACAAAATGACGCGTTTGGGTCCAAATTTGTCTAAGAAGTAGCCGTAGATGAAGGGACTGACTGCTGCACCTAGTGTTAGTATCGAGGATACCCAGCTAGATTCTTCCGATGAAAGTTCATGGTCAAACGGTGAAGATGTGCTGTTCGTCAGTTTTTCTATAACTGGTGACGACCATGTTATTGCTGTTCCACTTATGAATAGAAGGAGATCCCCTAAAAAATTTATAAAATACATATTTAAAGAGTTATAGTGTTTTATAGATAGTTAGTTATAATAGAATTAAAGGAAAATATGTTTTTGCCTTTATTTCATATTGTTCATATACGGGGTGTAACTTTAATGAAGGTGGGGGTTTTAGAGGGCATAGTACATGATTTGCAGAATAATAAAATTAAATTATGTATTTTTTATAAATATAAATAGTCGAATTGTAATTCACTTTTTACTTCACTTAAAAGCTTAAACTCTTGTCTACGCCATCACTGGGCGGTTTCCCTACCCTTTTAAATCAGAAAGTGACAGAGAGTGAAAATGATACTGTAAAAACTTTGTTTTTGTATGATTTTGCGATATGGCATTTTAAGGTAACTATATTTTTTCAGTGTCAGTGCGAGTGAAACGTCGAACATTCAACAACTGTCTTTAAAGAACAGTGCAGTGAATGAAATAAACCATTATAAGCAGCTGAAATTTTTGACCAACGGCAGCTTTAGCGAGTTTGGCAAATTCTTATGAGACATTTTGTGCGGCAGTTACAGTTTCTCAAAGGAAAATAAACTTGAAGAGGTTTTTAAATAATTCAAGTGTTGGTCGTCATGGATAGTTGTAAAGGACCATGCACACAGTTAATGGAAACTAGCAACCGTCAAATTGTCTGAAAATGAAATATGTTACAGTTTGAGATGTCCTGATCAAAAGTTGTCACGGGCCTAAGACCCAAAAATGAATAATTATCGAGATATTCGATATTGAAGTCCCATCGCGCTTATATACAGTCCTTTTTACGGGAAGCCGTACAGCTCTTCTCTTTCTATCTCTTTCTCTCTGAGAGAGATACGGTAGGTATTTCAGAATTTTTACTGGAATCGAAATAGAATTTGTATAGTACACTGTTGTATTTTATTCAATTTAATTTTATAGAAAATTTTCCTGACTATTTCCAAGACAATATAGCTTCGTCCCAGACCGCTACTGGAATAGGACAGCAGCTGTAAATTTCCGGATTGCCGCTAGAGTACACCACCAGCAGAATTTTAGGAAGAATCAAATGCAGCGGCCCGCATTCCTACGTGTATCCTAGCAACATATAAACAACACTTTGGCAATGTTGCCAGGCGTATTTACGGATTTATTTTAACACTTTTTTTTATCAATACCTGTTTTTTGCGTTACTGTATTTACTTAAATGTATGATGTAGGTATTGATAAAATGTTTTAAAGGATCAACGAACATCTATGTAGTTTCATATGATATTCTGCAGCGGTGTCACAGTTAGGTCATAATAATCATAATTTCCAAATAAACACAATTCGTAATGATAGTTTAAACAGCTTGTAATATATTTTTTTAATATTTGAAGATGATGATAAATTTATTTAATATACAAGGTAGGTTATTAGTGAGTCGCGGAATGTAGTTACAGGTTTTTTTTGTATTTTGACATCCACTTATAGGTTTAATAATTAAATATAGAAAAAAACTTTAAATACAAATGTACGACTTTTCTATTGACATCAAAATTTGCTGGCATAAAATATATGTTTAAAGTAAAAAAATTATTGAAAAAATTAAAATTCATCCTTATTGAAATAACAAACAACGATTTTTATAACGAACGTTTACAACAACATAAGGAGAATACCTAAAAACGAAATAACATTAAAATACCTACAGTTGAAATTATGCTTTAATTTACTATTTATTACTTTAAAAACAAATTCGGTATTATCAAACATTTCGTTCTGTATTTTTTCTTTCAATATTTGTAAATTTTGAGGTTTTTAATAATATATTTTGTTGAAATGTCCCCACAAAAAAATTGTCTAAAGGACTGAGATCGGGGCTGTTTTCTGGGCACCTAAGGTTTCTAATAATATTTTTTACAGTGTTCATTGACGAGACTCGTCCTTCAAAATAAATTTGCCGATATTCCTGAAGAAATTTTGCACATTATTGTTATTTGAATAGTTTAATTATGTTTTATTTTGATAATGATAAATCCCATGTATTTTTAAAGGAAGGTTCGTTTCTGTCATTTTTGTCTGATTGTGTGCGGGAGAGATAGAGTTATAGTATGCGATAGAGATAGAGTGACTTTGTCCTCATAGAGAGCTTTTATCTCTCTCTCTGCTGTCTTCAGGAGTCTCTGGGGCTTGCCCAACTTTAGGACACCTAGGGAGGGAGCGTGGGGTAGAGCGCGTGGCCTTTTTAGCCTTTGTGATCGAGTTATGACGTCACAACGTATGAGAAAAAAAAACGGGTTTTGCTCGTAACTCAGAAATAACTGGAATGTAAACAAATCTCCCCTTGGTTCTGAGTAGAGCACTCAGTGGGTGAACAGAGTGGGGTGTCACAATATATGAGAGAAAAAAAACAGTATTTGTTTGTACCTCGGAAATGACTCGAACAATCAAAAAATCTCCCAGGGTTGGGTGGTCGAGTGAAAAACATCCGAAGTTCGCATGTCGAAAAAGAAAATCGGGACCAACGGTGTGTGACATCATAGAATAAAAAAGTGTTTATAACTCGGAAAAAATCGAAAAAATAATTAAAACAGTCTCCCCCACAACCCTGGCTCTGATTGTCCGTTCTGAGTTGAATGCAAAAGGTCCGAAGCCCGTATGTCGAAAATAAATTTTGGAAAGAAGAGGTGTGTGACGTCATATAGTAAAAAGGCCGTATAACTCGGACACGGTGCGTTGAATAAAAAAAATATTTAAAAAATCTCCCCACACCCCAGGTTGTGATTATCCGTTCTGCGTTGAATGGAAAAGGTCCTAAGTCCGTCTGTCGAAAAACAAACAAGTTAGTCAATAATTGCAACAGCAGTAGTGAACGTATTATCTTATGATGATTGACTGATGATTTGTTGTTTTTTTTTTAAATAAATTTCGTATCAACCAACCCTTGAGGTTCCAACAATTTTATTAAATAAAAAATTAAGGTACTCTTCTTAAGGAAATTTTACATTTTTAAACTTTTTTGAAATAAATAATTAATTAGATAAATTCATAGTTTTAATTCTAACTTGATTTATTTTATTTAGCATTTAACACAAATGTCATTTCCAAACAAAAGGTAAATTACATATAACTCTTCAGTTACATAATTAAATGCATTAAATTTGCCTGCTAACAAGACTCTGTATCCATTTTAGGTTGCCAATATCCAGCATTTAAAGCGCGGTCTATGACGATAAGCTATTTGGTTTGTGATACTACTTACAAAAAGGTAATGAACACCGAATTATTTGTAGGTGCAATTGCAAAATGAAGTCAATTGTAAATTGTAAAAATTATAAAATTTGTTTTACCTGCTAGCACAGCAGAATAGACGATGTCCCACTTTGGAAAAAACATCGTGCATCAAACGTACTCAGCACAATAACAAAGCTAGAGTTCCCACACACAGTATCACAGTTTTATTTTTTTATGGTTTTATAGGTAATAATCAAAGTAATTATCTACCGTAATCTATTATTGTTTATAAAAAGATCTGCAAAATGGGTCACAGTTGAACAACAAGAATCGCTGATATTGAAAATTAGGACAATAAGTTTGGCAACAAATGAAACAACTGATTCAAGAGACCATGGCAACATATTTATTAAGACAATTCTTTTCTAAAAAGAAATCAGTACAATTTAAAAGAAACGTATAATATTTGAAATATTTGTTTATAACAAATTTAGAATTAGAATTACAAATTTTCTCAGATTTAAATTATCATAGATTTTATTCTTTAATGAAATAAAACAAAAATTCATTAAAATAAAGGTGAGTAAATTAAATTTATATCAGTAATTATGTTCCAATGGTCATTTAAAATTGATGATATTGTACAAAATATTTAACTACTTCTAGGTAGCATACTATTTTTAAAACAATGTCAGCCTTATATAGGAAATACAAAATGTATAACTAGTCCCCTTAACTACAATTACTTCTTTAAGCAGTGAAACATTTAACAGTAATAGGAAATCGAACTTTGCATGAATTAAATACACCTTATTCATATAATTCTGTTTTAGTTTAAACCTGGTATTAAACAAATATGTTGTAGATTTTGTTCAAACTTATCACAATAACATATATATTTTTTGTAAAGATGTAGTTATTACAATTCCAGTTCTTACAAATATTTTGATTTACTCTGTACTAGACGAAAAAACTATTAAATAATGAGTAAATCTCTTATAAATACAAATTTCAGAATAATATATTATTTGTAAGGAGATACAAACTTATAAATAAAAAATATAAAAGTTACTATCTAGTTACCTTACATATGTACTATAAGAGTCCTAAGTGAATAATCAAAATTAAATAGTTATTCTATGAACCTCATATAACATTTTACAACAATCAAAAAGAAAACATTTACTAAGAAATTGTCAAATGAATCATACGACGACGTCATTCAAAAGTACAGACTGAAGTGCGACTCTTTCATTTATTATTTCTTTTCATAAAAAATAATAAACCACTTATGCCTACATACTCCTAAACGTAAACCAGTCCTTATCGATAAAGATAATATAATCAAGAATATCGCACACTCTTATCATCAAACTGCTATTCCACTAACCTACTCTAAAGGCACTTAACCTGTATTCAATCCTAGCGTCATTCATCGTATTCAATAAATATAAAAATAAACGGGACAGTCAGAGACGTTTTTAATTAAAAAACCTAAGTATCTACATTACTCGCATCATTTTTTCTTCACAGAAAACTTCTTTTCATAATCTTCCTTCGCTACTTTTCGTAGTATAGCTTCCATGGTGATTCCTGTCTGTTTCACCATAAGGGTAAAGTACCCGTTGTTCTTCTGAAGGAGCTGGTGCGGATGTGCAAACTCTACGGGTCTACCACCGTCCATCACCAAGACTTTGTCAGAGTCCATGATGGTGTTTAATCTGTGGGCTATCGTGAGCACCGTGCAATGTTTAAAATTTTCACGGATGGTTTTTTGAATCAACGAATCAGTACTAAAAGAAAGTAAAACGTTATGATTAAATAAAGACAACGACAAATCAATCTAAATGAAAATACTTACTGTGGATCTACGTTTGCAGTCGCTTCGTCCATCACGAGTATTTTATTATCACGTACTATGGCTCTTGCCAGACACATAAGCTGTCTTTGACCAGCACTAAAATTCGATCCTCCTTCACATACCTGCTGACTGAGGCTTCCTATTACTCCTTTCAGCTCAACCTGAAACGATAAAGAATATTTCGTAAAAGCGATAAACTTCAATACTTTGTAGAAAAAGTATAATATTTTATCAATACAGTTCCATTGCCGACAAAGTAGAATATTTTATTCACTTTAAAGATCATTCACCTCAGCTCGATATATCGACAAAGTACAGGTAAGACTGTAGCGATAAAGTATTGAAATTTGTTGACGTATAATATAATATGTACTTTATCTATTGCTCATCTAGGTTCAATAGTTTCTCGAAAAACTATAATCCTTTATCGATTAAGTATACTTTGTCGACAAAGTATGTACATATAAGACTTTATCGAGCGTACATTTCAGTTCAATACTTGTCGAAAAGCTATAATACTTTATCAATAAAATATTGCAACTTCCCCGATAAAGAATAATACTTTATCGATTAATACTTTGTTGAAAAATTGTAAAACTTCGTCAATAAAATATAATTTGTCGGTATTTATAAAACTTTATCGACAAGGTATTGATTTTTGCTGTTTAGTACTGTACAAACGTATTGATCACTCATCTTCATCATTCAATAGTTTGTCGAACAAAGTGTAATATATTGTCAATATGCATTGTAGACAAAGTACATATATGACTTTATCGATAATACGTCTCAATTCAATATTGAGTATACAATATACATATATTATACTTTGAAGACGAGGTACATATAAGACTTCATCTATGAATTATTGAACTTAAGTATGCAGTTCTATAAAACTAACTAGTGTTCGGTATAGTGTCAAAGTACGTTATTGTACTGACACTTACATTTTCTAGGGCTCTCCATAGAACTTCATCGCTGACTTTTTCGAAAGGGTCTAAGTTGTATCTAACTGTAGCAGAAAATAATACTGGTTCTTGTGGAATTATGGAAATATTCGACCGTAAGTCGTTGAGTCGTACTTTAGCGGTATCAACGTCATCTATGGCTATCACGCCCTCGATAGGAGCCAGGCGGAACAGAGCAGCTATTAGAGTGGATTTTCCTGCACCTGTTCTTCCAACTATTCCAACCTAAAACCATTTAAATAAAGAGTTAAGCAGAGACAATACCAGTAAAGACTGAAACCTTACCTTCTCTCCTGCTTTGATCTCCAAATTTAAATCCTTTAATACTGGTTCTCCATCAGGTGAATATTTTAGGAACGTTCTCTTGAAGGCGATATTCCCTGACTGCGGCCAATTCCTTTTTGGGTTCTTGTAAGTGATTTTCGCAAAATGTGGCCAATCTGCTTCTAAATTTTTTGTGGGTTGGTGCTCCTGACTCTCCTTTTCTAATTTGGTGTATTGCAGAACTCTTTCTACGCTCGTCATGTTGCTTGCTACTTCAGCTGTCTGTCGTACACCAATTTGTAACATTCCAGTCAACACCAAGCTCTGTGAAATCACCAGACCCACGTTTCCACTCAAGAAATTCTCTGAAAGAGTAAATCGTGAAAAAATTATAACGAACCGCTGATTAAATAGTTATTTACCTCCTTGGAACACCAGGAACTGGTAGGTCACCAAAGCTAAGAATATGGTGCTGATTATGTCTAACCAGAAACCAAATATCTCACTGCACGCTATGTACATGTACCAAGTGCTTGTATGCTGATCCTGGAGGCAGTCAAATTCATTGATAACCATTGTTTCAGCGTTCGAAGCCCTTATCGTCGGCATTCCGTACAGAGATGCAGATATGTGGGAATAAACAGGAGCTCGATCTATAAGAAGCCATCGGTTACAAGCGTTAAAAAAATAATAGGTGTTTCTTGTTACTTACTAACTCCTTCCAATCTTTTGACGTCTTGTGCGCTTTTCAAGTACACTACCCTGAGGTAGTAAAAGACAAATCCCAGTACCACTGCCGGTGCTATCATCCAAGGGCTTACGATGAAGACAATCATCAAAATACCTGACATCACAAGGAACACTTGGACTGCGTCTAAAGATGCTCTGGGTAGCAATTCATCGATGGCCCCCATGTCGTTGGAGAATCTATTCAATATTCTCCCTGAAAATGCACACATTATTTTATTTTAGCATTAGAGACTACTATTATTACTACTATTATTACTCTATTACCTGATGGGTTTGTATCAAAGAACCTCATAGGGGCCCTCAACACGTTACTAAACATCTTCTTGTGCAGTCCCTTGGAAGCGTTCATGAATATTTTGTAGAATAACCAGCTCCTCGCAGGTGTTAAGGTCATCGCAGCTATTATAAATACAGTGTAAACGGTGATGTAAAAGTCTCTTGAGCCGATGAATTCCGTAGGTTCTTCTATGTATGGATATAAGATGGAATCGTTCAATGGCAGCACCTCTGTAGAGTTGTCTAAGTCTACGTTATAGATCATGGAGTCGTCAGTCTCTATTTCTGAGGAATTTCCTGGTAGAGTATATTCGTCATCGTCTGCGAGTAGGTCTGTGGAGTTGTACTTAACCTCTTCCATATTGGTCCTGAAAGATAAAAATTATCTAGTAATAATTCTAATGATTTATAGAGGTTTTTAGAAATGCTAATATATTTTTTTTTTACTTACCAGTAGGTAACCCACAGATCCGCTGCATTCGAAGCCAATTGAGCAATTATTAGTAGAAATACAAGACAGAGCAGAACTATAACACCAGCACCATAACGGTAGTACTCGGCGTATAATGATGCAGGTATAGCACCTTTTTCAACCTCTTCAAGACTCTCTTCTGGACCCAGTCCTTCTTCCTCCAAAGTATTCTGTAAAATATATTTTAGTGTTGTTAGAAAATAGCTTAACAACTTTAACTTCTTTAAAAATTTTTGCTAGGTACTTATTATTTGAAACTTTTTCTTATTTACCGACTTACCTCGTTTCCTGAAACAGCAAGGGTTTTTCCTGCATCATCTTCTTGAGGTTTATCTTTGTCTTCTTGACTAGTTTCGGGATAAAGGCTGCTAAGTTCGTCCTCAGATAGTTCACTGAATGATCCAACCTTCGTAATCCGTCCCTATGTAAAACAAAAATGATAAAATGAATTCATTATTGAAAACAACTGTCCTTACATTATTCATGATAATAATCAAATCGGCTTGCTTTAGGAATTGCAACTGATGTGTCACTAAAATCCTGGTTTTGTCGTGCATGTATTTCTTGACACACTCTTCAAATAGGTGCTTCCCAACATGAGTATCTACGGCAGACAAGGGGTCGTCTAAGAGATAAATGTCAGCGGTGGTGTACACTGCTCTTGCTAAGTTTATTCTTGCCCTTTGTCCACCACTCAAAGACACTCCTCTTTCTTCAACCAGGGTCTTGTCTCCAAAAGCGAATTGTTCGAAGTCTCTTTCTAGCGCGCAAACCTTCACCACCTCATCATATCTACAAATTTTCCATCTCTTATGAATATTGTCCAAAGGTGATGATTGATACTAAAGACAAATTGCAATGATTCCACACTTACCTAGATTTTACATAAGGTTTTCCAAACAGAATATTATCTCTAACGCTGGAGACAAACAACCATGGTTCCTGTGAAGCATACGACATAATCCCAGAAACATCAACGTTCCCACAATTCAACGGCAGTTCCCTGAGCAGCATCTGTAGAAGGGAACTCTTACCAGCTCCCACGTTTCCCACCACACAGCAGAGGGTGCCTGGAGCTATATCCAAGTTGATATCCATCAGAGTATCAGTGACGGGGTACAAAGACCAACTAGCAGTGGCTTTTTCAATCTTGATCGAACCTGGCTTTCCTTTGCTTTCCACTCCGCTTAAAACAGCTCTGGTTCCGTTCTCTTCCAGAAGAAGAAACTCTTCTAGTCTTTTGATGGACACTTTGGCTTCAGCGAAATTGGCCAAGGCGTGGGGGTAGTAGATGCACATGTAAAGTTGGACGGAATTAAAGAGTTGAGCCATAGAAAAGACAACATCGGAAGAGAGTTTATGGCCCAGAAGCACGAAGGCGATGAGGGTCAAGTACAAAGCGAGCCTTTCGGTGAAGACCATCAGCGAGAGGGAAAATCCCCTTATGTAGGAGGTTTTTGAGATGATGTCGATTTCCTTTCTGAAAACAACGTTTCTTGTTAGGAAGTTGTTTGCCTGAAATAAGTTACGCTTTCCTGTTTTTTTTTTCTATCAAATGTGGTTTATACTACTTCAGTATATATTCAGGAAGATGGGATGAAAACATGATGGCCGATTTTTGTTGGTTGTTAAAAAGAGAAACGAAAAACAGAAGGACCAAACGAAAGCGTAAGATCCTTTGAAGAGAAGAGAACACGTTATAGCAACAAAAATAAGAATGATTTGTAGATATCGTTTTCTTTTGTTTAGAAAGTAGAGTATTCTACAAGTTTTATTGCATTCTCAATCTTCTAGGCTGTTATCTCATCTCTCAGTACAAAAAGTAGATGGATAGATGGGTGGATGGGCGGGTTTTATAGGTGGTACAGGTGGATGAATAAATATGCGTATTCATGCATGAATGACTGGATAGAAAGATGTATGAATTCATAAATGGGTGGGTGGATAAAAAGATGAAAATGGCGTTTTTAATCTATTTTCTGTTTTTGAATGAAATTGGACCAGCTTGTCTGACTCTATGATGATAAATTGGAATTAAACGATTGAAAAATCATACGCCTAGTGAGCTGGTAGAATAATTTGATTTTTTATAACTTTCGTCGATCGTAAATTATGTTTTTTGTGAATATTTTGACCTGTTTTTTTAATTTTCCCCAAAACTCGGACCCGTTAGGCCAAATCTGAAGGCAGATTCGGATTCAGCGGAAGAAATACATGGGTCTGAATACCAGATCCAATAATTTTTTTTTTGTGGGGCTGTGATAATAAACAGGCACGTAGTTATCGGTCCTGGGAAAATAGCGTTGAATATCAAGAATATATGCGGCGCTATAATAGTGCGATCGGTGAGGTCATAAACATTTTAATATGTTTTTAGAGTCGGGTTTTAATATTGCTGCACTTTGATATTTCCAAGATTAAGAATTTATAGAAGATAGTCGACACTAAAATGATTTTTATTTTACGATTTTGCATACCACGGATTCAAAACATAATATTTCTGGAAAAGTACTTCGAAATTAACAATACATATACTTTATGTACAATAAGAATATAAAATATTCAATTTTTACTTTTATTGAGCTGCATTAATAAAGTGCAGATATCGTGACATGAAAAGTGGCACAAAAATAAAAGAATAATAACAACTCTGTGTTGAGACACCTGGTTATTTTTAAGTACGGCGGATCACCATAAATAAACTGTCGACACAGACAATTCTATACAGGGTGTCTCATAATTAGTGTGCAATACTTTAACAGTAGATTCTACGATCAAATATAAGATTGTTTTTTTCCTATAAACAAGGGTCGAAAATGCTTCCTAAGGGAGCTATGCCCCCCTAAAAGGGGCTTCAGGTGATCATACTTTTCAAAATATTTCCAAAACCAGTTAACGTATCATTATGAATTTTGGTATGTTGGACATTCAATAAATGTTTTAACGAACTACATGAAAACTGTTTAAAAATTTTAGACAGGGGTGTCTCAGGCAGAAGGGCTCACGGGTAAAATGCGCCCCCAATTTTTTGCATGTCGATATTTTCCAATTTAAACATCAAACTATGATAGATATGAGTTTTTCACAAAACAATGTACTTTTGATTTACTTCGATAAAATGCTTTGTTTTCGAGAAAAATCGATTTTAAAGTTTTATTACATAATCTCAAGGATGGAAAAGGATTACACGAATAGGTAGGTAGGCCATCTTAGATGAAAACTATTGATAAAATATTTCGTTCATTATGACATGGTTTTGTAACTATTTACTAGTTTCTTCTTCAAATACTCTCAATATGTAAAATTTCGATATTTTCAAATATGACGAAATTGTTATCTTAATTTATATCACTTTTATTTCAGTTTATATACCGTTCATAGTTATTAATAGTACGGCATTGGATGGTATTCACCTATAAAAAAAATTAGCCAAATATTTACTTTTTATTTTGCATTATGACATTTCGTCGATTTCTGCTGAACAAATAGAAATTATAATAACAATTACGATTTGTTATGACGTCCAAAACATTAAGTAAACAGGGGTAACTGCTTACAGATATTTAAAGAAAAAATTAGCACTTGCAGTACAAGGTACTGGTAAACTTTGTAACTATACGGTGATCGAAACAAATTTAAAATATCCACATTTAAAGTGTATGGTATCCGAAATTTTAGATCCCCTGTATATAAATGACTAATCGGCTATTTACCGTACAATTGGTGGCAAAAATAACAAGGCGTTCTGTGACGCAAAATTGGATTCAGTTAAATCAACAGATATAATTGTGTCCATTATTATTGTAACGCCAAAAGGACAAGTAACGTAAGATGATGTGTTTGAACAGTAATTAGCACTGGTTGGCTACTTAAAACGTCATGTATTTAATCGTTTTTTTACCAAGAAATGCGCGAAAAATTATACACTGTGACTTAAAATAGTTCCTTCTACTAAAGAAATTACCATTTGCAGACGTTTGTACAACCTTTAATTAATTCGTTGTAAAATATCCTGATTACTAAATAAATAAAACATAAATTTGATACGGTCTTCATAATATAAAAACTAAATATAAGTGTTTTATTCGTAGATATTGTAATACGTCTCTCTTAATTGTCTGCGGGGATTCATTTGTATTCCCCAAACAAAATTAAGTTTAATTTTAGCATGATTTGCCGAAATAATTATAATTTCTGATTGGTAGATGTTTCCTGAATTTATTAGACGTTATTGTCATCACTGGGCATTATATATTGACGAAATTTGAATTTTTATCGTAAATTTATGTAGTCGATACATTATTTTACTTAATACCTTATTTTAATTTTATAGTACACAAATTTTGTTATTTGCTGGTGACTAATTTACTTTATTTTTATCTTTTTATGATGGATACAGTACATATTGATGGTTATTGTAATTATGAATCTCCTGTTAAAAGCATTTTAATTGGTCTTAAAAGTTATATAATATTCAAAATTATAATAATTGTTTGCAAATAAAAAAGTGTATCAGACAGGTGCAAAACAGTTTTAAAGTGTATGTATTTATTTTTTTTATTTAATAAATTGGCCATATATCACGTTGTAGTGGGGTCAAATAAACATTTTTTTTACAAAATCATGTGTTACAAATAAAATTTTCATTGCATGGTGACATAAAGAGCTTACCTAACCAATTTTAAAAAATTGCAGCATCGGGTTATCAAATGGATTGGTTCAACAAATATATCTAGGCATTATACGTCTGCTAAAAAATAACCGAACTTTATTTTTTAAACTTTATACATTAAATTTTATACATTGTTACCCCTTATCCTTAAAGTCTCTCCCCCTCTATTCACACTTCTCAGCGGTGTTCTCATTTCGTGAAGCAATCCTACATAGGTAATTTGAAATGGTCTTTAAAGTCTGAGATGAATTTACTTTGATGTCATCAATAGTCTGCAAACGGCGTCCTTTTAGCACTGATTTAAAATTTTGGAAATAAGGAAAAATTGTAAGGGAGGCAGATCTGGCGAGAAAGGAAGACAGTAATCTTACTTTAGACACAAAACTGACGAATTGACAAATCTCAATGTGCGGGTGCATTGTTGTTGTTGTTCTAACATCACACTTAATGAAGATCAACACGAAAAAATAGCTACTATAGAATGGTCCTACTATTTATGCCAAAGAACACTGTTTGACGTTTTTGAAATGACCCTTTTGGAAACGTTTTTTTTTTAATGATTTAAATTAACTTAATACCTTTATAGTAGAGTAAAAAGTGGTTTTCCAGTTCTTAATAATCCACACTGTATACAAAACTTTTGCTAGACTCTCTATCAATATGCGGTATATGAAGAAACTGCTCCCGCCAGCTTCGATTCTATACGTTTTGCATCAATGTAGTAATTAATACGTTACTTACTTTCTTGCGAGCTCGACCACTTTCTCAAAGGACTTTTCCCAGGCGTACATTTTAATAACTCGTATGCCAGACACTATTTCGCTCATTAACTTCACCCTGTGGTCGGTCAAATGCGCTATCTTGAATCGCAGCACGCCCTGGACTTTTGACATATAACCTAAAACAAAAAAACATTTGAAATAAATGCATCACTGTTATGTTAATAATAATAATGCAATTTTAATCGAACACAGAGGGTTATTTTATAGTCAATTGGAAATAACGAAGTCTCTTCGCAGTGCAGATCTAAACCCTATTGCTACTTTCGGTGTGATACTGTGTGATGCACAAAAATATTATGCAAAGGTTGAGAACTATAAAAAATGCAAATCAAGTTATTTTTTTGACAATATTTAGGTATGCTATAATAATAATAATACATAAATTTAGTCAGTTTCAATGTTTCACATTGTTGTGGGCCTAATACTAAACCCTGTGTAATATTTTCTAAACGTGATGAGTTTTTAAACAAAGGGAAAGTTTCTAGATTTTATTTATATTAATTAATTATTTAATTATTCGGGTTTATGTTTTTTTGGTCCACCCTGTAGCGTTCATAGAACAATCTAGCATGTTGCTAGCGCTTGCAAATCCGGATATCGAGTGGAAAATTTTTACACTTTCACGTTCAAATCGTTCAGAATATTGCGAATATCGGCAAAAAAGAAATTGACGAATTTTAATTCGCCTGAATAGAACACTATCACCCGGCGAGGGGACATGTCTATTTACGATAACCAGACCATGAAATTGTCTGATACCGCCCTGAAAAAAAGTGTGTGTATCAATAACCGTGGTAGAGGTAATAATAGTAAAGTGAGAATATATGTCTAGGTTGTTGATTGTGGAAAATTCCGAGATAACAATTGCAAGTCGAGAACTTTCATGGCTTCCTATGACAATGGAAGAACTAGCTATTGCGTGCCGATATAAACGTAAAGGTGAGAGTTTCATGCCACTACGATTTCATTGCACCTAAACGGTGTTACGAAATGTTATGTTTTCAAAAGTGTTTTGGATACATTATAGTTTTTTAATTCATTTCAAAAGTTCTCACCTAGAAAGGGGCTAATCGTTGTATATCATATTTTTTCTGGCAAGCACGAAAATCTATTAGAAGCTATTAATATAGAAAAACTATTGTGAAGTGTTGAAAAATCATACCTTTTTTATTAGTAAGTTTTTAAAGTTCTCCAACATGTCCATCGTATAAGTAGATACAAAAATATCATATTAGTGTCTTACCTTGTAAAGGTAATGCTTCCAAGCCCATAGCTAACATGCCAGCAAGCGCAGATATGCCTACGCTTCTGTACATCACATAGAAGGCAATTACAGCCTGCAGAGGCATTATCCATATGTAATGGAGATAAAGAGAAGCAGTGTCGAATCTCTGAAGATCATTTGATAGAAGATTTACCAGCTGTCCGGCTGCGGTTTGACCCAAAGAAGCTTGGCTAAGTTTTAGTAGCTAAAAATAATATTTGAAATTCTTAGATTGAGTTACTAAAAATTCAGTACCAAACAAGTGGAAACTTTTGAATGTGGTCAATTAAATAAGATTTAGTTAGTCACCACACAGCCAATATAAGTCTAACTTTGATTTAGTGTGAATATATTTCTCATTTACGTCATGTATTAGGGACAATTTTTGCTGCTTTATTATATCACTTACAAAGCTGGGTGTAATTTAACAAGGTTTTCCCCAAAATTAGACAAATTGAAGACAAGAATATTAAGATGAACTCGTAAGGTCAAGGTAATGGCAAATGCATTAGTACAATTTAAAGCAAATTTCCTCTCAGTAAGATAAGTCAGAAGTGGTAAACAACTGAAGGTCTCGGACAAGGTAATTAGATATCACTTCTAAACGCTATTATTCCAGGAAACTATTGTTTGTGTACTTTTTTTTTCTAGTGGAAAATAACTTATTCCTAATCTTACCTTTCTATACACCAAAGAGCAACAAGCAGCTCTAACTCTCATGCCGACTCTCTGACAGCCAAGTTGGGCGTGGTGAAACATCAGAATGTTGAAGAATGCCAAAAGAACTACGGCGGATCCCAAAATCCATCCCCACTCCGTTCGACTTTTATCATCGTCTTTGTTTTCGGTGTCATCGAAGTACCTTATATATTCGGCTAGGACTATTGGATGCAAAGACCTTTTGAGAGTACATCAACATAGATTATTATTGAGGTTTACATATATCTGTTAAGTATAGTTAATTATTAAATAGCGAAAATTTTTAATTTTATCTGGAACAAAATACATCAATTTCACAAGCAGCAGTTTCCTTCTGTTGAGTGAGAGTAGATTTTTAGAAAGGATATTAATTTAAATATAATTAAGTTGCATTCGTACTTACTTCAAAATAATCACCTGAAAAAACAAAAAGGCCCCATATAGCGAATACGGCTTCACGAACGTTTTAAAAATGACTTTCCTCAGGCTGGGTTTGTTCTTTTTCTCGCCAGCCCGTTTCACCTCTTCCGCCCAGTTCCTAGGAATGAAAGAAATGATGCAAAATATGTCCTGTCAAAAGCAAGATATTTCAAATATTTAGAAAACACATTATTTAGATAAAATCTAAATTTTTTAAGCAGAAATCAAAAAAAATCTTACCTTTCCAGCTGTTCTGCCAGAGGACCACACATGTCATCGTTTGTAGTGTTGTAAATGTCTTTGAGTTGTAAGTCGTTCTTATATCCATATCTGAAGAATGGTATGATCCAGCTGAAACAGAACTCTTTCTGTTAAAGGCTGAAGTTATGGCTATCGGTTGTATAATTTCTTTTGGTGATTAAAAAATTTAATTAACAAAATGATTTATTAAGTATTTAAAACATGTTTAATAAATTGGTAAGTAAAGATTAATGTTTTTTTTTCACAATTTTTTATTCAGCTGAATTGTTTGCACTATTAAATGATTTAAACATTAATAAAATATATTTTCCACTTAAAATGCATTAGTAAAATAAACAAAAGAACGGTGAATGAAAAAAAACGAATTCTATTTATAAAATCTAACAATTAAGCTGAATGCTTCTAAAATATGTAACCAAACTCATATTGTTGAAACTGCAGGTCAAAATTTTTTAAATATAATCTACACCATAATGCACCCCTAGCGAGTTGCAGTCCCTTAAAGATAAAATAAAAAAAATAAAAGTACCAATTTCTCCTAAACTTCTGATAATATTTTTTTCAAATTTGACACTCTACCTACGCTAATTTTTGTTTTTCTGTTAACATACTTGATATGTTAATATTATACAAGATAATTGGACTGCACTGATTATTTTAAAGTAAAAAAATACTATATGTATATATGTGTTTAATTTTTGAAAAGCCCATAGAAAATTTTTTATTTCTTAAAGGAACAATTTCATTAAAAAATTTAAATCAAAATTTATTATTAGCAAACGGATACATTTATTGTTTTCTACTGAATTTGTACGTTTTTCAATACATTTTTGTTGTACCTACACACGTTGTTTTTTTTTTGTAGTTTCTTCCTAAATGTAAGGGTAGCAATATGTAACGCAAGTATTACTATAACGTTTAAAATGATAACTTATTCATAAATCAATGGTACCCAACAGACATGGAAATTCTTGGAGCGAAAGCGGTTTCTATTTAAAAAAAAAATCCTGTGACGTAGTATTGGGGCCAACTAGGCGAATCTGAATGGCGCGATATTTCAAACCCCGCGGCTAGACAACCAGATGCGATTAGTTTTTATAAATCGAATGAAAATCTTGATTTAAAAATGTCTACTATACAGGGTGAGTCAAAATTCACTCCCCAGCGGCCGGATATATATTCTAAAATAAAAAATAAGACAAAAATATAGAATACTAAAATCTCGAAAGCGGAGCCGTTTTCGGAAAATTTTGTAAAGAAAAATTCAAATTTATAATTTTTTTGTTTAATAGTAACACTATTAAAATCCACCATTTAAATCCATACAAAATAAGAAATAGCAAAAACGAAGATTCTTCTGGCTTTGGCTAACCTTCAAAACCATTATCATTTTTGTTAATACACTTTTGCAATCTGTGGTAAAAACTCCTGCCAACAGAACAGAAATTAGCTTCATTTATTTCCGCTACTGCTTCATGATTCCTGCCAACAGGCACAGTAAAATAAACATTTTCTTTTATGTATCCCCATAACCAAAAGTATATCGGAAACAAGTCAGGAGACCGGGGTGGCCATGGTGTTGGTCCACCCTGTCCAATCCATTTATTAGGTTCAAAATATGTCGTACTCGTAATGTGGCATGTGCGGGCGCACCTTCATGCTGAAACCACATAGTTGCACGTGGTTGTAGAATATCTTCTATTAAACCTGGCAAAATGTTCTCGCAAAAATTACTGTAATTTTCACCATTCAGTATTCCTGGCAAAAAATATGGACATATGATCCTTTTCCCGTAAATACCTATACAAACATTTACAGACCAATGTATTTGCTGATTCCGCTGACGTTTTTCATGAGGATTCTCATAATGCCAATAATGAAGGTTGTGGTCATTGAAAACTCCTTGTTTTTGTCCGGCCAACTTAATTAGTCTGCATTTATTGAACTATAAATTGAACTATGATATAAATTAATAATTTATTCGAAAACGGCTCCGCTTTCGAGATTTTAGTATTCTACATTTTTGTTTTATTTTTTATTTTAGAATACACATCCGGCCGCTGGGGAGTGAATTTTGACTCACCCTGTATATATAATTCTCACTTGTTAGTTAATGTCATTATGCAAGCCACCAAATTCCCTAGATTTGGACCTCATTAACTTAAAAAAAATCATATTGACTTGGTAACAATATTAGCACCGTACTTGCCGAAAGGTAAGGAAGAGAACGCCTTTGCCATCTTCTTGTCCTTTAGAGAGTTGTTTATGAGCTCTATCAAGCAAAGTATTACAAGTTCAAGGCGCATAATAAAACGAAGATAAACATAAAAGGCCGTCAGGTATTTATCTTTTTAATGGCACATTTTTGCATAAATTCATATACGATCACATGACGGTCATCCTTGTTGACAATTACAGACGTTGTCAACGAACACCTGAACGTCAAGATGAGTCATCACCAACGTGATCTCGGTTTTTCACACGCCCAACCCATACAGCTTTCTCAGAAGCGTCAACGCAGTTCATGGCAAAGGACGTACAGCAAGGATACCTCATACCCAGAGGCCTCTAGAGACCAGAAGCGCAGTACTGTCTATTCTGGACTTTGAACTGAGCCACTTGCTGTGGATTGGACCCTCAAGGCTTGTTTTAAAAGGTCTTTCACTCATGTATTTTTACGTAAACGATTGCGATGGAAGAAAATCAATGATTGTGAAATATTGTTACTTAATATCTGTGACGATTTGGTTTATAATAAATTAACAACGCAGTTTTAATGGGACTGTGAAGTAATGAAGCAGAACACTTGTCAAGAAGAAATTGAAGAAGAATAGATCGAAGACCTGGGGACCATGGTGTAAGATTTCTGCTAATTTCTACCGTATAGGGACGAAAAAAAAAACGACTAATCATTTGCGTTATAAATTATATAAGTCAATATAACGTCTCTTCCCTTGGATATGTAACTATAATAATTTTGTTTTGTTAAATTTTTTACATCCTTTAATAATAATGTTTATTATATACTTAACGGTGCTTACAAACAAATTTCACTCAAATTTCACTCAATTTTACTCAATAATGTATCAATTTCTGTTCACACCGATTGAGTGGAATTTTCACTCTATTAGCATGAGTACAACTAAGTGAAACTGCTGCATCAGGAATGAGTGAGTTTTACTCAAATGCAAGTTACCGCTAACTATCAATTGAGTGACTTTTGACTCTAATTTGAGTATATAAAACCAATTTAGAGTTGCCTTTTTCTCTACTACGTTTAAATTTAACAATTATTCAGTAATTTTTTTCTCAGACTTGGTTTATATTCTCTTTAAATTTTAATTTAAATATCATTGTATTAATGTCACAAACTACTAGCTGCCACAGTGGTTTCTACACAGATCAGTTTTAGAGACAATATTTTAGGTCTCGATTAAAGGAATTCGTGAACGAATAGATTGCCATAACCTATATTGTACGTTATAAATGCGTAATTATACATAACAATTACATAACAATTTAACTATCCATTAACTATCCGTTTATTTAACCAAATATTAATCGAGACTTAATTAATTATTGTAATTAACTCACTGCATTTAAATACAATTTTCACTAGAATAACTAGATAAACCGATACTTGTCCAACTCCAAAGCACACCATACGCCAAACTGCCATCCACCACGCCACCATAACGAGATAACCTAATGAGACGATTGGAACAGACAAAGACAATGCTTATGAAAAAGGGTGGGATCACTCAGCAATTGAATTTACTCTGATTTAGGTACAAGTGCACCATATACGAATTTACGTGAAGAATTTATTTAAGGAGTACCTATATTTGAGTGAAAGTACTCAGTTTTAGTTTAAATATAATCACAAATGAGTAAAATGATCAAATTGCCCAATATTGAGTGAAAATGTACTCAATAATTTCACTCAATGTATTCACTCCGAACCTTTATTGCTTTCACTCACACCGAATTTTTTACAGTGTATTTATATAATATACGATTTCAGCTTTAGTAAAACAGCTCGTAGTTATTTATATTTGCAGCCACGTTGAATTTAATACCACATTTTCAGACTCTGACTAAGAATAAGTTATTATTTGTTCGTTTGGATTCTTTTATAGGTTTTTAATTGACTGAGATTCGTCACTTGCAAATTGATTTAGGCATAACATAGAACAACCCTATTGCGTCTGATTTAGCCACTAAGGGACCTTTCGTTTAAAAAATTGTGTACTAAGTTTATTTTTAATTCATCAGTTTTGAATAATACCTAAATGCTGCAAGATCTCATTCGGCCCAAAATATTGCGAAATAATTTTAAATCATCCGTAAAAAGAAGACAACTGACGATGACGGTGAGATGTCATTAATGAATAATCTGAGGGACTCCCGACATGGGCCGAACTTCAACAGAACTGAAACCTCAGAATAATACTTTTTTCCCTATTACTGAGATTTAAAGAATTATAAGATCGTTGGAAAGATAATAATTCAGTAATTTTTTATTGCAGACCCGCACCAGCTGCTTTAGTTTATTACTTTTATTAGAGATAGTGGCACTACTTTTGGAACCACCTGTATGCGACATCCGACTGGTTTACCTTCCTTTTTCTACCGGTCGGTTCAGCAGTGTGTCGTCCTACAGCGTCCTTGGCAAGGTGCTGAAAAATCCTCTAGCCATGTTACGGAATCCAATGGTCAACGACACCTTCATTATGACACTACATTATGTAGAAAGCACCACAAAAGTTTAATAACAGCATTAATAACCTTCGTGATCTTTTTTCTCTCTTAAAGAATTTATGTGATTGAAGTGATCAAGTTTAAGGACGAAATACCATTAAAAATTACTCTTAGTAGTAAAGAAATTTTTATTGACGGTAAAATTTTGACCAAATACCGGGCATTTTTTTAAAGCATTATTCCCTTGAATATTCTTTTGAATATTCTTCATGTGTTTATCAAAATTTCCTTTATTCACTTGAAGGAAAATGGCGTTCATATTTTTCCTATGTGAAAAAGAATGTGGTTTTACAGACAGCCTCTCTTGACCCAGTGTAGGAACTGTCATA